CATAACAGATGGATGAGCTTACAGATGACTGTGTTGCTTTGGTATTTAGTTTGTTACCAAGCTAATATGCAAATGAACGACTCTTCACATGTGCTGCCAAACACACCTGTGACAAATATCTGGAGTATCTGGTTCTGCACGTATAGTAAGATGTTCTGGGATCCTTTTAATGAATTCTCTGAAGTCTTAAACAGATCACGCATGCTTCTCATCTTGGAGGTTTAGAGAGGCTTTGGAGCCCTGAGTTTTGTTCAGGTTTTGAGGAGAGGGTGGTGGGGGGAGGACAGTGGGGATGGACACATCATCTCGGGAAAATCACCAACCACAGGCTTATGCTGTTCAGCATTAACTTTATTTACACGCACAGTTGTTATTCTAACACACAGCTGCAGCTCTCCTGCTACCAGCTCCACATACCAACAACAACACGACAGGACCCAGTTCAGTCTTTGCGGATGACTTGCAGGTGTGTTTGCCTACCCTGCAGCCGCACCGTCGACCACGCCTCGCCACAGATACACTGGTAATTTTCTGGGGGGGTTTTGTAGGGATTTTCTTTGTTATGAGTGTATTTTAGCAAATAGAGACCTTGGATTATTTTTTGCCATTGATTGAAGGCCTATTCCGGCCCATCGGTGGGGTACTACACGAGTGACGACAAGGAGTTAGGAGGAACATTGTGTCAATGCTCCTTTGTTAACAACTGGACAATAAAGTCCCACCCCCCAAAAACCACGCCTTTAAAAAATCTTCTATAAAGTTGTATTTTAATACAAACTTATAACACATAACATAAAATATAATTACTATATACAGAGATAAGTTTGAAGGATAATAAATCCAGGCAATACAAGTTCCCCTCACTGGGTTGGCATGTTATGTGTGACTGTAAATAAAGTGTGAAACTCTGATTGAGAGGTGGAATTGCTTCATTTGAGGTGATATTCTAACAATTTCATGATCTGAGAATATAGTCTCCTTTTGGAAAAGGATAAAAACAAAAATGATAAATTAGTATTATGTTGAGACAGACAGAGAGACATGTTGTTTGAAATTGGTTCTTTCTCCTTTTTTAGATTAAATCCTAAAGTTTACAGCACAGCCGACTTAGTTAGAGTCAGAACAAATTCAACGAGAAACCAAGTGAACTGAGCCATACTGTTTTAAATTCCTAACCATAACCCAACTGTAACTCTGACCCTAAAACAAAAATTTGAGTCTCAAAAATGTCCCCATAAGGGCTGTTGGTCCCCACAGAGATTTGTAAACATGTACACACACACACACACACACACATACAAGGAAGCAGGAGGGAGGCAGATGAGTAAGAGAACAGCTGCTATAAATGATAAATGTTAGAGAGAGGCGTTCGTTGAAGATGTCATACCATAAAACTCTAGATCTGCCATTCAGAATGTCTTTCTTAGTGTCTTATGCTTGTTCACAGCACGAGGTGCTAACAGAGCTTCAGAGCTTTTGGTTGACTGTGTGACTGATTTAACTTCAGTGCCACACAGACATTACTTATCCACACAGGGAAAAGCAGGTGGTGGGTCACATCTGCACAGAATTAGATTGTAATCACTTCAAATTCATCCACAGAAATTTGTATTTTGATGAGATGAGATAGCCTTTATTTGTCAGTTGCAGGTCTTTTGCCCACAACCGAGATGACAGACCTTGCCGACCGTACATACAATACACAAACATCACATTGGGGAGACAGGTCAGGCTAGGTAGCGAGGAAAAAAACATCGAAATATGTAACACAGAAGGATGATACAGGAATGCACAGATATCAGCACACCATAGCACAATAAACACAGACAAGCAACTTGGGAAAGAGTTCCAGTGTGTACATCTGATCTGGGACCGCTGCAATCTTTCGACTGCGCCTCCAACTGACCCGATGTCCACATCAGAGGGGAGGTAAG